GTTTGTAAGGCGCCGGTAGTTGTTGACATCTGTTAAGTAGCTAGGTTAGTGTACCAGCTTTCCAGAGTCAGTCGTTGAAAATAGTTTATACTGTAGGTTAAGCACTGAGCAGAGTCCCAGTCAATGTTGTGGTTTGTCAGTTGATGATGTACAGCAATGTGATTGTTGGCATCACCATTTCTCGTGGCTTGTTTGTGTTCAGTCAGTCTCATGGTAAGGTTTCTGCCAGTCTCACCAATTAGGGAAGGCTGGCAGTCGGAGCACTTGATCTTGTAAACTGCTCCCTGTCTGTTGTTAGGTTTGTCCCTGTCTTTCACGTTGGTCAGTAGGTGTCGCAACGTAGTTTTAGGTTTGTGGGCTACACGGATGTTGTAGGGCTGTAGGATCAGTGAGATGGTCTCAGAAGTACCCTTACCTTAATGTAAGGTATAGTCACTGTAGTAACAGGCATTGGGTTCCTGTTCGTTGCATCAGTTTCAGTGGGTCGGTAAATGTTTCGTATAATAAAGTCAGCGTTGTTGTTGCGGCTTACTAAACAGTCTAGAAAAGGAAGTTTTCTATTTCCTCGATATCTTTTGTAAACTGGATGTTGGCATTCTGTTTGTTTAGGTGGTCGTGAAAATCGTTAACTTCATCCTCTTTAGTAAACTGGATGTCGGCGTTCTGTTCGTTTAGGTGGTCATGAAAATTGTCAATTTCGTTCTCTTTAGTAAACTAGATGTCGGTGTTCTGTTCGTTTAGGTGGTCGTGAAAATCATCAATTTTGTCCCAATAACTCTATTGCCTTGAGAACTTTGCTGACTCTTAACACAATTTGCACCACACAATGACACCTTTTTTCCTTATGATGTAAACAAAAGCTTACTTATTTCCACTGCATGTTTTTCAGGAGTAATTGTGACCCTACGATCAGAGAAGAATTGCGTACTCACTACCAGTTACCATATTTCTTGCCAAGCCAATCAGAGACCAGCGAACAGGACTGGATCTTTATGGGAGGACCGGGACCTGGAGCTCAGATACATGTATGTATATGACATCTGTTAAAATTTCCAGAGCCATGGTGTAAGGGCGTTAAGTGTTTGTGGGCTAAGGCTGATCCTTGCCTTAAATGATCTTCCTAGTATGCAAACATAACATTGTGCTGAATACATAATAATTTTATTTAGATTGATAGTGTAGACCGTCCATCATGGCAGGCGCAGCTGTCAGGCCAAAAGACCTGGACTCTGATCCCTCCCCCAGAGTGTGAACAAGTCTGTCAGCCCATATTCACAACAACAATGAACAAGGGAGAAGTCAGTAAGTCAGCTAAAGTTTTTGTTTTTTGTTTAAATTATGTACCTTTTTCCTGGGAAGGAACACAATGATGTAGAGGGATGTTACTTTATAATTGGAAGATTAAATTCAAATATTTAATTGTTACATGAAAAAAGTGAGTGCAAAACAAATTTCCATTAAATTAAATAAGCCCTGGCCTACCTCCAATGTTAAGCCTCTCCTTCAAATATGCTTGGAATACCAGTGCTGTAATTTGTTTTGTAGTCACATACAGGATAACTGAAGTAGTAAACATTAATGGCCAGAGACGGATTTGTTATTAGTCAAGATTAGTGAGTTCTAGTGTGAAATAGGTAACAAGTAATTTACTGTAGGCAGGGAAATTGCGGGCTCATTGTGACAGGACTGGATATAATAGGCCCTTGAAGGAGGGGGGTGGGGGGCAGGGGGTTGATAGAGGATATACTCTATGTTAAGCTGGCCATGATTAATTATCAGTGGAAAAACAAGTTTAAAATAGGTGATAGAACCCCTCCAAAAAAATTCAAGCCAATAAAAGAAGACGAAGAAGAACCATGCGTAACTCAGGGCAGTGCCATTCTTTAGATTCGCCTTTTTATTGTTGTTAATTGGCTTAATATGTTTTTAACTTGCAGTTGTTGTGGACACAAATCAGTGGTATCATTCAACACAGGTTTTGCCAGGAGATCTCAGCATTACCATTGGGGCAGAATATGACTAGAAAAAGAAACAACAGTCCCTAAATTATGCATGTTTTCACCAGCATTCCCCTGAGGTCTAAGAACCCTCAGGCCAACCATCAATATTTGGAGGGGGTGCAGAGGATCTTTGCCCCGGGATAGGAGACAGTTCAAGACTTCCTTTGTTATAAGTTTTAGAGATTTTAAAAGGGGAAATCACAAGATTGTAATTGAGGATAATTTAAGGAGGATTGTAATTGAAGGGAAGCATAAACCAGGTGACTTTGCTTTTAAGATTTTGCCATTACTGGGAAGATATCTTCCTTTGCTTTGCTTTTTTATGACCTCAGGGGAAGCTGGTGACACATGCTTATGATAAACGAAAAGTAAAGGTGTTAATCCATTATGCACCTGAAAACTCAACTTTTTGTGCAATGTCTTGACCAGTTACAAGAAACTTAATTGTTTCACTGTTCTTTCCCAGATATATAATCTGAACATGTCCAGATTTTTGATAGTATCAACCTATTTTCCCCATCAGAATGCTTTTGTTGAGGAAAAGGTTATTGTCATTCAGAATGCTTTTATTAATAATCCATTTTACAGTATTTTGAGGTATTAATAATCTGTTTTATTATATGGCTAGCTCCATGAGCGGGCAAGATGAATCAAATCCTGCACTGTGATTGGCTACCTGAGTGGGCAAGATGGAGCCATCTTGCCCGCTTGGGACTACCCGTCATGTCCTGCTTGAAAAATTTCTCAGAAAGCCATATAATAAATCCTTTATTGACCAAGCTTGGTCCGTCAAGATGGCTGGATACTGGCCTCATTCTTTCTCTGTGAGTTTATGGACCTCGACTCCGTCTCGGTCCAGCCATCTTGACCTCATATGTACTATTGCTTCATTGTACAGTTCCAGAAAATATCCATACTCACCCACAGAAGGGATTGGAATTTCCTGGGGGATGGGGTTTCTGGAAGGCCAAGAAATTTAAAGAAATGTATGAAGCTTAATTGGAATCTCCAGAGGGGTTGGGGGGGGGGGGGG